GCTAAGTGGCTAAGAAAAGAAAAGCAGGAAGAAGATTCTACATGCCATGCTCTTCCCGCCCCCCTGGTTCTTTCTCACATGCGGCTTCAAGTTTCACCTGGTTGGAGTTTAAAGAGTCTCGGCAGAGGCAGCTGTTTTGGCCTTCTGAGGTTCAGGGTTCATTTGCGCTCCCCGCATTCTAAAGTAACCATAAAGGACACCCCCCTGGCTATCTGAAGAAGTGTGCGTGCACACAAAAGCTTATACCAAGAAGAAGAAGAAGAGTTTGGATTTGATATCCCGCTTTATCACTACCCTAAGGAGTCTCCAAGCGGCTAACAATCTCCTTTCCCTTCCTCCCCCACAACAAACACTCTGTGAGGTGCGTGGGGCTGAGAGACTTCAGAGAAGTGTGACTAGCCCAAGGTCACCCAGCAGCTGCATGTGGAGGAGCAGAGACGCGAACCTGGTTCACCAGATTACGAGTCCACTGCTCTTAACCACTACACCACACTGGCTCTCAAGTTTGCTCCAAGAACAAACTTAGTTGATCTCTAAGGCAGTGTTTCCCAACCTTGTGCCTCCAGCTGTTTTTGAACTACAACTCCCATCATCCCTGACTAGCAAGACCAGTGGCAAGGGATGGTGGGAATTGTAGTCCAAAAACAGCTGGAGGCACAAGGTTGGGAAACACTGCTCTAAGGTGCTACTGGACAATTTTTGATTTTTTCATATATTTTGACTGTGCCAGACCAACAAGGCTACCTACTTGAATCTACTCCCTGGCTAGTACTCCCTATTTTGTAAAGTTTCTCACCAGCCTATGCATAAGAGTTTCATGGAGAACAGCTACGTGGGCTTAGAATCCAGTAGAAAAGGCACAACTACGGACTTGGGGGCTTTGTTTGGAATCTTTAAGCTCCTCCTCATCTTTCTGGGAAAAAGTGAAACGTGCCCAGGGCTAGTTGTTGTTGTTGTCTCTATAAACGACTTGGATGAAGGAATTGAGAAGATGCTCAACAAATTTGCAGATGACACCACAAATGGGAGGTGCATCTAATACCACAGAAGACAGAATCAGGACACGATATGTACTCAACAGATTGAAGGACTGAGCCCAACCTAACAATAGGGACAAATGTAAGGTTCTGCACTTAGACAGGAAAAAACAGATGCACCAATATAGGATGGGGACACCTGGCTTACTAGTAGGACATGTGTAAAGGATCTAGGGGTCTTGGTGGACCACAAGCTTAACATGAGGCAACAGTGTGATGCAGCAGCAAAAAAACCCTAATGCTATTCTAGGTTGTATCAACAGAAGTCTAGTGTCCAGATCAAGAGAAGTAATAGTACCATGCTATTCTGCCTTGGTCAGAGCACACCTGGAGTATGGTGTTCAGTTCTGGGCACCACAATTTAAGAAGGATATTGTGCAGAGGAAGGCAACCAAGATGATCAAGGGTCTAGAAACCAAGCCTTATGCAGAATGGTTGAGGCAGTTGGGCATGGTTTTTCCCCAGGAGACTGAGAGAAGATGTGATAGCCATCTTCAAATATCTAAATGGCTGCCACATGGAAGAGGGAACATGATTGTTTTTTTCCTGCTCTGGAGAGTAGGACCTGAACCAATGGCTTCAACTTACAAGAAAGGAGATTCTGACTAAGTGTCAGGAAGAACTTTCTGACTGTAAAAGCTGTTTGACAGTACAACAGACTTCCTTGGAAGGTGGTATACTCTCCTTCCATGGATGTTTTAAAGCAGAGGTTGGATGGCCATCTGTCCTGGATGCTTCAGTTGATATTCTTGCATTGCAGGGGGTTGAATTGATGACTCTCAGGGTCCCTTGAAACTCTACAATGCTGTGGTTCTGTGGTTCTAAGTATGGGGATCAGTGGAGAAGAAGAATAAAGACCACTTCTCCATATTCTCATCATGGATGCTCTTACTAGCTTGCAGATGAGACAGACAGAGAAAGAAAGACTGATACAGGAGAAAACTATCCCAAGGTGCTTAGAAAGGGCTTCTCAAAGTGGAAAGCTAGGCATTTCTCCTTTGTTCCCAGAAAGAGACACTGGGAACTTCTGCTACTGGGAACTTGCCTCCTACTTCTTAAGTCAGGTCTTTGAACTTGCTCCAAAGGCCTTCCTTTTATCTTTGAACTAAACAAATATGAGCACATTAAGAGCTACATCTACATTAACTGTATTATTTGTAGAGGTCATTCGTTGTTGGTTAGTCATTTAGTCGTGTCCGACTCTTCGTGACCCCATGGACCAGAGCACGCCAGGCACGCCTGTCTTCCACTGCCTCCCACAGCTTGGTCAGACTCATGCTGGTAGCTTCGAGAACACTGTCCAACCATCTCGTCCTCTGTTGTCCCCTTCTCCTTGTGCCCTCCATCTTTCCCAACATCAGGGTCTTTTCCAGGGAGTCTTCTCTTCTCATGAGGTGGCCAAAGTATTGGAGCCTCAGCTTCAGGATCTGTCCTTCCAGTGAGCACTCAGGGCTGATTTCCTTCAGAATGGATAGGTTTGAGCTTCTTGCAGTCCATGGGACTCTCAAGTCTCTTAATTTCTTGTTTTCTTGTTTTTTGTTCGTCTTGTACTTGATCATTTGCATGCTGTTCTCTCAGTTTCCTCATAATGTCCATCTTTCCCCATTTTAAACATGGGCCCTTTATTTAACATGTCTAGGCTGTTCTTCTGGTGGCTTGTGCATCATGAAAACAGTTTTTACGGGAACTTCTACATTCAAGGGGGGGCTTCGTTTGTTGATGTTTTTATCCAAGGAGAGGCCTTGAAATGCTCTCCCTCCCTAAAAACTGCTAGTTTCAAAGTAAGACAGATACTTTCGAATCTGATTTACTTCTCCCTCCCCCAGATATTAGGTCTGTAGCCCTGAGCGAAACATTTCAAACTGGGAATTATATATAATTTTGTGGTGAGCAATGAACTAAATCATAGCTCTGAGACCTTGCAGTAAAATCTTGTGAGAAACAGAAGGACAGGACATTGTGGGGACTGAGATGGCAAACGACCATGGAACAAGTGAAGTTCAAAACTAAGGGCAATTGGATTTTCATGACTGTAGAAAAACAGGAAGTATTTGGATAAAAGCCTTTTTCTTCCAAAATGGTAGAATGACTGCTCCCTGCTTAAAACGGGGGGCGCCCTTTGCGTGGACGCGCGCAGCCCTAGATCTGGAGTGGCCCCATCAGCATAGGCTTGGCTTTGCCTTCCCTCAGGTGGGATACCTGGAGGTCCCCGCCTACCTCAGTCAGTTGTCCAATCCCACCTGAGGGAAGCGTTGCCAAGGAGACCAGGCCAGGTAGGGGAGGGATTACCTGCCCACACAATAGAGGGAGGATCTTACCTGGGAATCCTCACTTGGCTCCAGAGCTTCTCCCACCCTACCCACCCTCAGTTAATGTCTTCTTTTGCAGGTTAACTTTTCTTCATAGGTTTTGCAGGTTAACTTTTCTTCACAGGTATGCAGGCGCTGCTACGATAAGGTCGCTGTTAAAGGGCCGGAAAGGAATTTCCCTGCATTGGCAGGTTTCGCCTTTCCCGTAGCAAAACGTCACAACTTTGGCAGTATCAGGCCTTGGGCGGAATCCTTTAGTCCATCTTCCTCTTTGCGGCGGCGATACCAGGGTTCCCCGTTAAAGGGGTTTCTGAAGGGAGGCTTTGACCGTACGCCGAAAGGTCGTCATTGCTCTCCCCTGTGGCGGCAGCGTAACGGGGGCGGCTATCTCTGCTTGAACATATGTTCTCCAGAGCCGGCCCATCCCCCCCACACACGCACACACTGGATAACCCTGAAGCTCCCTAGGTCCCCGGCTGGGGACTGGGGAGGGAGAACGCCCAATGCCTGAGCCAAGGTCTACCCACATTTGAAATTTAATAAAGTTGTGGCCAATTTAATCCCATAGCACGTTGTCTTGAGTCGTTATTCCACATGACGGGGGGGACCGTGCGGGATCTGGGGACTCCGCCTGTCCACGCAAAAGCCAAATGCCAGTGAAAATCTGGCCAAGCCTTGGTCCTGTACACAGTAAATGCTACACAGGTAACTGTCAACTTGCCCAATGATCTTTTGATGGCTGTAACTGATTGTTCTTGCTGTTGCTGCCAAGTTGGGAGAAAACCTACATGATTTCTATTATCTCTCCATGATCAAAAGGCAGTTCTGTAAACTGACTATGGGTTGTGAGTGTCAACCATGGAATGCAGTAAGTTCTAATGCTTTCTGAAACTGAACTGCGTGAGTACAGAAAGGCAACAAAAGATTTGATTTAGCTATGAAAGATGCGTTTTAAGACCCAGGTATCTGGTGCAAGAAGAGAATACGGGCTGGTACCACATGTTCTTTCCTCGCCGAGGGAAGCAGTGCAAGAACCATGAAGGACGATCCTAAACATTAACGTATTGCAAAGATGCATTGCTGTAATTTGTGAAGCATATTGCCCCATGAGCGGCGATTCCTGTGCTTTCTCAAAGGCAAGGTTTCTCATAACCATGTCTCTTGAAACAGCTCTTTATTAAAAGGGACACACTGAAGTAGAAGCCTATTTGTTCCGAATGTGATGGAACGATTGTACTGTACCTGTGGCAGATTTCAGACCAAGGAAAGAGTGAAATATGTCTCGGACAAGGGACAAACCTCAACATTACTGGGTGATGTGTCAAGTGAACGGAAGATGCTGTTTCTTAGACATCTTTAGCCCTAGAATGCAATGGTGAGGAGGACTTAAAAGCAAAAGGAAACAAAAAACGACTGGTTTGTTTACTTTTTAGGGCTGCGAAGGGGCTCCATTTCACTGCTCAACAGTATTACAGACAGCTGTTTATACCAGACAAAATTTGGTAACCATTTGCCATTGATACCAGTGCCAAAAGTTGTTGCTTTTGCTTATACACTACAGCTTATATCTTATTTTAGACAAAATGATTCACTCTAGCACATGTGTGATAAGAGTATATTACACATAATGTCACCAGGAAAATAATCAGTGACGTATTTAGGTGGAGGCTGAACTCTTGCTAAACTTACAAAGTTAATTATTCTGTAAGGTTAACCCATCTTGGCCGTCATTTGTTAAATCACAATAGAAATCATTGCGAGTGGGTTTCAAGAATGAGTTTTTGAGCTGGTAAAGGAATAACGCACGAATCTGAGGTTCTTTTGCAGCTTCTCTTATGTAGATGACAGCTTAGATTGCATTTTTATTTATTTATTTTGAAGCTTACTCAACTACAAGGGATGGAACAAACTTTAATCCTAGTCCTCATCTAAACTGAGTGGTTTTTTCTTGGCATAATGAAGGTTGAAACCATTGTTTACTGCCAATGACTTGCAAAGAATAAACAGCCAAAGCTCTCAAGAAATACAAGGTGATCAGAGCTTGCAATTTGCCAAAATATAAGAACAATCTAAATGCTTTCCAACAATCTGTCAGGTCAAAAAAATAAGAATTTGACACGCATGTGTGTGTGTGTGTGTAGGGAAAATAGAGATAGCCACAATGGACAATGCTTTCAAATAAACATTCATTAGGGCCTAGGTCTTACTGAGATGGCAATCTGCATCACTTCAGACTGCATGGGAGATAGAGTCTTCTTTCATACAAAAAAAAATAAATAAAAAATATTCCTTCCACATAGAAAATTAGATATTGGGGGCAAGGGTTCTTCTAGATTAGCCTTCTATCATCTGAAATGCTAGTTTTCCTTGTTGAGTGGGGTTTTAAAACTTTTTGGCTGAGGAGTAGTCAGCTGTATGAACCCTCAGGGTACAGCAGATGTCACTGAGAGCTGGCATAAATCAGGATGTTGAGTCTGGCAAACTGAATAGCACTCTTAGGAGATACATCGTGAACCCCAATGGCATTACTCTGGAGGGTCAGAAACAGTGCAAGATTCGATAACCAGAGCTCCTGTGCTTAAAACTGTAACACCTTCAGAACCGAGTCTCTGGTGACGACATCTTTCTCCCCATGTCCTCCTCGCTTTCCTTTTTGTCCCTCAACCCCTTGCCTCGCATTTTCTTCTGCATTGTTTTGTAGCCGCACTGGTTAAAGAGCAATAGCAGTGCCCACTCGGAAGATAAAAGATGTGCCATCAGAGAGGGCTCTGATCCGAGAGGCAAAGGTCGTGCTTCCCGGGTGTATAATCCGTGCGCAGGAGACACAACCCGCAAAAGAAAAGAAAGGAAGGAAAACCTTTAGAGGACCAGAATGAATTTGCAGCTTAGGCAGACAAACCAAAGCCTTCTCCCCGCTCCCCATCCCTTCCTGGCCCCAACAGCTGCTGGTTCTGAAAGGGTGTGGATCTCTTTAAACTCAGGTTAAAGCAATGCCTGATGAGGAGCAGTGGTGGCAGAGCAGAGGGTTGGGAAGGAGGGGTTTAACAGGATGTTCCCATTGCCGGGTTGTGGCTGGGGATTGGGAGGCAAACCTTGTACGCCACCCTGTAGGGACAGTTCTCTCCCAGGCCCAGAGGAGGCGAGATCACCCGTACTAATGTGTACATATCCTTATACAGGATCCTGCCACTGGAAAGGAAGCACAGGTGCGTTAATAGGGCTGCTCAGGAAATGGGGAAGAGGATGCAAGTGCAGAACTAACTGATGGCACCAGAGATGTGCAACTTTCCCCTTCCGTCTCCAGCTCGGAAAAAGCTCTGAGCGGCCTGTGGAAAAGATAGCTACTGCTCTCACTGGGAAGGTTGGTTCTATAGTGTTGGATCCCATCCCATTTGTCAACAAAGTGAGTACGAAAGGGTCAAAGTTGTCTCAAGGCTGAGAAAAGATGCAGCAGTCTGCTATGAATTAGCAGATCTTAGCCCATATACAGACCCTTATCCCTGGATCAGCCAGAAGAGTTTTGCAAAGCTGGTTATTTAAATAAAGCCAACACACTTTATTATTATTAAAAAAACACCTTTCTGGAGGTGCTAAATCGGTTTCGTTCCCATTTTCCGAAAGCGGAAAGTTTTGTGAGGAAATGTAAACAAGTTGCTCAGAGTTGCACAGTGAGAAATGTGAGACTGAATCCAAGGTTGCAGTCCAACACAGCTGGACAGTATTGTGCAGTAACTGAACGATCTAATGGCGCCCCGTAATTCCTGACAAGGAGCCACAGATCAAAAGTTATCAGAACGTGGCAAATCTATTTAATGGTGGGGGTGAGGCCACTGCAGGCCAAATCACAGGCACAAGAAAAAGCTTTTTTGAGATGTGCAAGGAGAAGATCCCCACCCTTTCCACTTTTCACAGTGAAATCTGACTTTAATCTTCTCATTCTCTTCCCATTCCTTCGACAGTTTTCCTATCTGGCAAATGATGCATTTGCTTCTCTGTGGGAAACTATAGGAGAGGTTTGAATAAGTTCACAGTGGAGCTCCTATTTAATCCTGTTTCCCCACTTTGGCCTGTTTCTCACTGAGGTGATAAATCTGTGCCCTGATTCTCACGTAAAAACTGCCCATACAGATACATCTGTATCTGACCAGACAGAAAGCCAGAATATCAGGAAGAAAGCTAGGCTACAGAGCCCTTCTCGCTGATATGCTAGTTTTGTATGCAGACATACATTTTGTGTATGTGGGGACATGGTCATGGGACATGTTACAGCCCAAAGGCAATTGTATCACCCCAGAGAGAACCAAATTTCCAGCCACGGGTTGCAGAATCGGCCTGTTGTGGCTTGCGAGGTGCAGAACCTGTGGTCTCAACTCCCATCAGCCCCTGCCAACGTAGACAATGTGGGATGTGAAACACGGGAGCAGTCAATTACAACATTCCTAGAGTGTACATGTTTAGACATGGGGAGGGATGTTTGTCCAGCCAGCAGGTAAACTTCCTGGGACAGACTTCCTCTGCATGTGACTAGAGGTGGGTATGGCCTCACCTGTGCAGGTAATGATAAAAGCACAGGGCAGGGGCAGCCATCTCTCTCTTGCCTCTCTTCCATCGAACAAGCAACATCTACTAAGCTAAAGGTGCCCTCTTGGCTCCCAGCCAAGAGAGGACAAAGGGACTATCTTCTTAAGAGATAGACACCAAACGTATATTACTTCTTTAAGCCTAATAGTCTGCCTTCTGGGATCTGATTGTGAACAGAATGTGAGTAAACTCTTTTTATACTTTTGTAAAGGACTGTGTCGTGTCTTCTATTTTAAGAGGGAATAAGGGGAAATTACCAGAGTGATTATTATAGAGGTTCTAGCGAACCTGAGTAAACGCTGCCGTTGCAAACTTAAAATAAAGGGGAATGTTTTACTCTGCTGATATTGGAAACTTGTTAACACAAGTTGGATAAGGATATAAACATACAATATATCCTCTCCTGCATCCCTGAACATTCCCACAGACAATGGTCAGGGAGGATGGAAATTTGGCCGCAGGCTCCTCACCCTGTTTGTTGTTACTTTAAAATACCACTTTAATTCAGAAACGCAATCATCACATTGTTTTTTTAAATAGACCAATTAAGCAAACGCGTGACAAATAGGAAGGCGGATATCCAATAATCCTGACTTCTCACAGCAATGCCAGCTTTTAAAAAAGAGAGTCTTAGCAAAGTGCAAGACTGCTAGGGCAATAGCAGTAGGAAATTCAGAGTCTGAGGGGGCAAGGTAAGAAAAGGTAAACCATTTTTGATATTTACACTAAGGTTACCAGATTTTTTTCAATGAATCCGGGGACACTTTTCAACTTTTGTATGAGGACTGATTTGTAAATCCGGGGACTATCCCTGGGAAATGGGGACGTCTGGTAACCTTAATTTACACCCCGATTACCCCTCCCCCAAGAAAAAGCCAATTATTATTTCCCCTTTTGTCCAAACCCTAACTAATCCTATCAACTCCTTAATTGTTCAAGAAAATTTGACATTCCTGCTCAAAATGAGCTTGCGCCATGAAAAGAACAGTCTGATGCTACCACAGCTGTCAATTTTCAGATTTGTAAATAAGGGATCAGCAGCCTCACCTGTCCCTGCCTAACAGTCCGGGATAGTAGCAGGAAGCAGCGAGAAACAGCACTGAAATATGGGAATTTCCCGCAAAAAAGGGAAGGTTGACAGCTATGGATGCTACTAAAAGCAGATACAGTGGTGCCTTGCAAGATGAAATTAATTCGTTCCGCAAGTTTTTTCTTCTTGCGAGTTTTTCGTCTTGCGAAGCACGGTTTCTCATAGGAATGCATTGAAAATCAATTAATGCGTTCCTATGGAAACCGCTTGCCAGGCTGGCGGTGCGGAGAAGGGCTTTTCTCCCCATCGCAAGCCTTCAGGACAGGTACGGGAACAGAGGGGAAGGGGCGCAGCGCTTCTCCTCTGTTCCCGGGGCTTGCGGTGGGAGGAGGGTTTTTCCTCCCCACCGCCAACATTCAGAACAGCATTCTGAATGTTGGCGGTGGGAAGGAAAACCCTCCTCCCACCGCAAGTCTTCAGGACAGCCATCCGAAGGCTGGCGCGGGGAGAAGGTCTCTCCGCCCCACCGCCAGCCTTCGGAGGAGCCTTCCGAAGCCTGGCGGCGGGAGGAGGTCTCTCCGCCCCACCGCCAGCCTTCGGAGCAGCCTTCCGAAGGCTGGCAGTGGGGCGGAGAGACCTCCTCCCGCTGCCAGGCTTCGGAGCAGCCTTCCGAAGGCTCGCGGTGGGGCGGAGAGACCTCCTCCCGCCGCCAGGCTTTGGAGCAGTCTTCCGAAGGCTGGCGGCGGGAGGAGGTCTCTCCGCCCCACCGCCAGCCTTCGGAGGAGGTCCGAGGACAGTGTCCCGGAGATTTCCCTATGGGCTTTCGTCTTGCGAAGGAAGCCCATAGGGAAATTCGTTTTGCGAAGTGCCTCCAAAACGGAAAACCCTTTCGTCTAGCGGGTTTTCCGTCTTGCGAGGCGTTCGTCTTGCGGGGCACCACTGTATAGAGCTCAGAAGGGTAGATATACTTGCCTGTGGGACCTTAAATACAAATATGTTTATTCCTAACTTTTCACAAGCTATTTCAGGGGCAGGAAACAGAATAAAGCTGGTGGGCTGGGTTCTGAGCTCCCCCAGGAAAGCCCTGCTGCGACTGGCGCTCTCAAGTAGAGCAGATCCCTGCCCAAAGTGGGGTTTGCAGTTGGGTCTGCAGCTGCTACCAATCAGCTACTACGGTGTCATCTATGACATCACATATGATGTCACGTGTGGGACAGGTGGGTGTGGCTTAGGAGCCTTGCCGCACCTGATTTAGGCATATGGACTGGAGGTTCCCCATGGCTGTACTATTTGATAAGTAGGCTCTTGCCAATGGGTACCCAATGCCACAATATTTGTTTACTTACTTATTTAAAAACATTTTTAGACTGGTCTAAAAATATGCCTGTCCAAATTGCCTATGCAAAGTGCTTCCCATTACTGAAATATTCTGCTTTAAAAAAACAAAAACAAAACACCACCACAAGAAAACAAAGTTTTAAGACATGCATTTTTTGTACACATCTTAACTCAAAATGCACATTTTTATATCCACTTGAGCCTAAAATACAAATTTTGGCACTTTCTTGAGGCTAAATATTTGAAGAAATGCAAAGACCAAAGGATAGCTGCATTCCAATTCATGAATTAGTTCAGGAAATGTATCTATGTGCTAGATATCTATGTGCTGAAATCTTTTATATATGAGGACATTTAAAAGATACAACCCCCAAGGTGTATGGCAAAGTGGAATAGCCTATGAGAGCTACAGTGTTGAGAATTTTTCCTGTGTGTTTCAGCTCTGATTTCAAAGGTGATAATCAATATCAGCTGCTCTTTACAACCCATATTCTGTGTTACATTCAAGGCTTGACATCAGGCATATTCAAAGTTCGTTTCAGGGGCCTAATCCGGCCCACCGGTCAGTTTATTCCGACCCCTGTGGCAGTTCATTTCCTGGGGTAAAATCCTAAAAAAAACCCTCAAGAACTTGGCCCTCACGGCCCTTCAGTTCATCCAATCTGGCCCTCTTTGAAAAAAGATTGGACACCACTGCTTTACATCATTGCAAAGGAAGAAAGAACTATGGCTGAAAAAGTACAAAAGGTCACACACCATAAACTAATAGTATCAGGATCACAGCAAACTAGCTGAATTCACGTAAAACAATAAAACTAGGTTTCAGGTAGGCAAAGGCAGATTCACGGCAATTAGGGAGATTCCAGAATTGCAAGAGCTCCAGAGAGGACCCATCGCTTTTCTAGAGATGTGAACATTCACACCGATTTTAAAAGGACTGGAATCTCAGGGTGGTCCAAGCCAGTTCTTGGAGAAAGATCAACATAAAAAGGCTCTCAAGTTCTCTGACGTGAAATCTGAGATTTCAAAAGCTTACTTGTGGAGGCAAACAAATGTCAACGCCAGTTCAGGCTAAGCACTATCGTACTGGGACACTGGGGTCAGGCAAGTATGTTGAAACACCCATGGGAGACATTCTAGAAAACAATATTTTCTGAAGCATGCCTGAAACTTTTTTTTGGGGGGGGGATGAGGGGAGTAGTGAAGACCACCAGCCAGGGGGTGGCCACTTAGATATGGAAGTGTGTGCAAGGAGTTGTTTGCAACCTCCATTGCTACAGACCCCCAAAGATGCCACAATAAAAGCAAAAAAAAATTACAAACGATCTTGCACACACCAGAGCTCTGATCAGACCACGGCTCATCCTCAGTGTGCTTAGTATAGGATATTTGTTTGCCATTCACATCAGGCATGTTTGCTGCAAGAAACATGGGTGCATCTCTGGCAGATCCAACGGCTTCATGAAATGGGGAACTGTTATTTTTTCATGGGATTCCCAGAGGTAGCTCACAAAACCTTTACTATAAAAATGCAGAAAACCCTGACCTTAGAAAATATGAATAAATAAAACCTGAGCTTTAACCCTTAATTCAGACCAGCTCAAACTCTGCATTGTTTGGGTAAGCAAAACGTCTTCTAATGCAACTTCTAGGGGGCTTCTCATAGGCACATTTGGAGCCTGAAGGGTTAATTCCCTTCCATCCTGTTTGTCTTGGGCATCATTTCTAAACAGATTTTGGAGAGGGCTTAAAAACAGGGGGTGCCTACATACCACGCAGCTCTGTCGTACTCTGCCCAAATCCGGACAAATTCGTCAAGGTGATGCGGTCCCAAGATGGAGGAATCTCGAGTCAGGTATTCAAAATTGTCCATGATGACAGCCACAAAGAGATTGAGCATCTTAAGTAGGGAGGAAACAAGAAGAACGTGTAACAAGGAGAGTCTGGAGAGAAATTTGGACAGTTCACATTTCAATGCAAACCTACCGAATTTATAAGTCCCCACACAATGTGCGGCCATCCTTTGAAATTCATATTTCATAATTCATTTTGTGATGCAACCAAAGGACACATTGGGGAAACATGTGCTTAAATTCCATATATTAGTGAAAACAGCATAGATAAAGGTATGTTATTAGAGGAAATCACCTGCAAAAAACTGTGTGCATTGAGGCAGTGGCGTAGCGTGGGTTGTCAGCACCCGGGGCAAGGCAAGTAATTTGCGCCCCCTAACCTGTGGATTTTGCGCCCCCCAGATGTTGCGCCCGGTGTGGCCACCCCCCCCTGTACCCCCCACGCTACGCCACTGCATTGAGGCAAAGTTGCAAACAAACATGTGTCTGTTGGGAGAAATGTGAACTAGGATCCCGACCTATTTTCACAAGACCCTTAAGAAAAAACACGCAAACCAATGTGGAAATACTGCAATCTGAGTTTTAAGTTTGGAAAGATGAGGAACTGAGAGAAACCAAAATTGACAGGCTCATCCATCCAACAAGAGAAGGAGGACAGGGGTAAGCAGAAGAGAGCAGAAGGGAATATAAATAGATGGAGAAAAAGAGGAAAAAATACTGTCAAGCAGGTTTCTGCATGTGGCACAATGACAGCGAAATCCTCTCTCTCTGTTCCATGTGGAGGATCCTTCTGGATTCCATTAGGGGCAAAGGGGAAGGAAAGTGGGACTCACCAAAAAGGAGCAGAAGAAGATAAAGGAGACAAAGTATACGTATGCCAGATTTGTGCCGCATCGCTCGTTCTCGTTCTGCCCAGATGTTGCTGTGGTGTCCGACTCACATCCTTTCCCTTCCAGGCATGAAAGCATGATCTCCTGCCACGCCTCCCCTGTGGCGCTCCTGCATGCAGAACAAACACTACGGTTACCAGATTTTTTTCAATGAATCCGGGGGGTTTTGTGGGGTTTTTTTGAAGCTGAGAAGCAACAGGGAGTCAGTAGTAGGGGTGGTGAGGCAAAAGACCCTGGGCCCAAGCACACATGCATATTGTATAAAAGTACAAATGCCTTCTTTCGCACCCTGTGAAACATAAATGCGCAGAGTTTTTCCCCCGAGCCTCCCCCGATCAGTCAAAACAAAGGGGGAAGGGGGCAGAAGATTGGGAGAGGCTTGGGAGTCACAGGTGGACTTCCGGCGAGGCAAAATGGCGGGTGCCACAGCAGCGAGCAGCTCCTGAAGCCAGCCAGAGCCAACTGTGCTACCAGGCTGGCTCAAGTTGCTGAGGCCGCCGCTGCCATGTTTCCCGGGGTCAGATTTGCAAATCCGAGGACGTCTGGTAACCCTAACAAACACATCTCCCAAGTTTACTGCTTTGTTCAGCAAATGCCTCACAAATAATTGCTTCTTGCATCAGCCAAACTCTGTTGCTTCAGAGGAAGACACAGCCACATCATGGCAGACTGTGATTTGATTCCAGCAGTAGTTTAGGGTGTTTATGTGTGGCAGGTGGGGTCGGGTGGGGGGGAATAGGATCTGCTGTCCCAAAAAAGCAGTGGTCCTAGTTCATGCACCATCAGGGTGGATTTGATTTAAATCAAATCGATTTAAATCACGATTTAAATCACTAGTCAGTAAGACTTGATTTAAATCATTTTTATTTATTTTTTACAGAAAGACTCATTCTTGCTGGTATAAATCTTAATATTTACAACCAGATGAAGGTTTCATTTTTGGACTATAAATTTTCGGAGTAGTTTTTACAGTTATATCAAAAATTACTGATTTGGTTCTACTATTAGAAATACATAGACAGATAATTATGAAATTATTATGAGGTTCCATAAGTTAAATGTTTATATTTGGACAACTTTTCTGCTGTACTTTATTGGAAGGAAAAATAATCACTAGTAACAATTTAAACAATTTATTTAACTGAAACAATTACATTATAGCATATGTATCCATGTTTGTTAACTGATGAGGCTAAACAATTTTTAAAAAAACTTAGACTGAGTTTTAGCACACATGAAAAACTTAAAACAAATCCTTATTTCCTGAAGAATAGCCTTTGGACTATAATGTAACTTAAACAGAAAACTATCTTTAGAAAGATTTTTCCTCCCAAAGCATTTTATTTAAAAAATCTGATTTAAATAAAAAATAAATCCATTTTTAAAAAATCATTTATTTTTATCCACCCTGCGCACCATGTAGTGTCACACAAATAGGGGCGTTAGCAGCAAGGAAGGAGAGCAATAATTAACCCACACAAGCACAGTCCGCACTGCTGGACAAATTATTCAGATAGTTTACAAAGATCCCACATTGATTCCACATCCAGTGAAGCTGGCGAGTTATTTGGAAGTCTTCTATGATGACCAGGGACACCCCAGGGTGTGTGTGTGTGTGTGTGTGTTTGTGTTCATCAATTATCAGGATGCCTTCCAAAGCTGGTGAAATGCCATTTCAAAATAGCCGACGTCAATTTGAGCATAGGATGTCATTATGCCATTATTATCTTATTGATTTGATTACATTCCATTAGAAAGATGAGAGGGAGGACACTTAACATAATGGATAATTAGGTCCAATCCGGGGGGGGGGGGTGAGTGTGCATGGGGTGCTAATTATATGTAGTTATGATCATTCTAGCAGGATAGTTGTGTCTCCAACTTTGGCAATGAAAGGTTTTATCATGTATTGCCATTAAGGTAAAAAAAATGATAAAGGACTCCTGGACAGTTAAGTCCAGTCAAAGGCGACTATGGGATTGTGGCGCTCATCTCGCTTTCAGGCCAAGGGAGCCGGCATTTGTCCACAGACAGCTTTCCGGGTCATATGGCCAGCAGGACTAAACCGCTTCTGGTGCAACAGAACACCGTGATGGAAACCAGAGCAGCGCATGGAAACGCCATTTACCTTCCCGCTGCAGTGGTACCTATTTATCTACTTGCACTGGCATGCTTTCGAACTACTAGGTTGGCAGGAGCTGGGACAGAGCAACGGGAGCTCACTCTGCCATGGGGATTCGAACCGCCAACCTTCTGATTTGCAAGCCCAAGAGGCTCAGTGGTTTAGACCACATCGCCACCCGCGTTAATTGGAGTCAAAAGTTAGGAAGTGACTACAGCTGCAAACTCATTAGGAGATCCAAATTCTTGTAAATCCTGCCTGTTAGTTCACCTAGAACAAACAGCACACGTTGTCCACAAAGCCCTTTGGGGTCAAACTGTCCTTTCTAGGTAAGCTGCCCAAAGGGGAACTTTACTGATCCCCTCCTTCAGCTTCCAAAACCTTTTTAAAATCATACTGGTAAAGGCAATGTCACATTTTAACCTAAAACATTGGAATGAATCCTTGTATGAGTGTTAAAAGTCTGTTTACCTGAAAAGAAGCATCAGTGAGCCCAGAAAGCTGCGGAAATTGTTGTGACGATTAATGTGGCTTTCTTCATCTAGTTTGATATTCCCAAAAACCTGAAGGCGCAGAGAAATGAAAACCCAGTGGAGAAGATTTGACAACGACAAATACAGCAATCTCCCAGTTGGCTTAATACGAAGTGTACAAAGTCCTGACTACCTCTTTATTTCACTTCCTCCAAAGTCTCATGGCACTAGGGAAAGGGAGATAATTGTAGATGGAGGAAGAGAGGTTCGTGTCTTTTTGCAGCCAGAGACATGAAAGGCAGCGTGAAAATGCAATCACTGCTAACAGTGTGTTCACTTATGGCACTTTTGTTTCTGGTTCACAGGTTTTCATAGGGTGCCAGAAACCTGCAAAGTCTCTTTGACCTGCAGCAAGCATGGGGCAATGGAAATATGCATTAATTCCGTGGAAAGGAAAGCCTCTCGCAAACTCTTTGCCGCTCCAAGGTCTGCCTCAAGGGAGGGTTTGCTCCAGATCATGCTAATTGGCAAGCAGTCCTTCCCATGAAAAGTAGAGTAAATTCTATACTCCTTTTTTGTTTTTAAAGGGGCAATCTTTCATTTAGTCTGCATGGCTAAATACCAGGTTGAACAACTCAGCATCAGACGACAAATGAAACTGCTCTGCAGGTATAATAATAATAATAATAATAATAATAATAATATTTATACCCCGCCCTTCTTCCTAGGTTTCCCCAGCCACTCTGGGTAGCTCCCAACAGAATATTAAAAACACAATAAAACATCAAACATTAAAAACTTCCCTAAACAGGGCTGCCTTCAGATGTCTTCTAAAAGTCAGGGAACCAGGCAGAGGGCCTTCTCGGTAGTGGCGCCCACCCTGTGGAACACCCTCCCGCCAGATGTCAAGGAAATAAGCAACTACCTGGCTTTTAGAAGACATCTGAAGGCAGCCCTGTTTAGGGAAGTTTTTAATGTTTGATGTTTTATTGTGTTTTTAATATTCTGTTGGGAGCCGCCCAGAGTGGCTGGAGAAACCCAGCCAGATGGGCGGGGTATAAATAATAAAGTATTATTATTATTATTATTATTATTATTATTATTATTATTACAGTGGTACCTCGGGTTACAAACACCTCAGGTTACAAACACTTCGGATTACAGACTCTGCTAACCCGAAAGTAGTACCTTGGGTTAAGAACTTTACTTCAGGATTAGAACAGAAATTGTGCGGCGGTGGCACGGCAGCAGCGGGAGGCCCCATTAGCTAAAGTGGTACCTCAGGTTAAGAACGGTTTCAGGTTAAGAACGGACCTCTGGAATGAATTAAGTACATAACCAGAGGTACCACTGTATCATCATCATCAATTGAGCACCTAATGATAACTATTATTGTTATTATTTGTTATCAATATGTTCTATCCTCAAACCTCATAAACAGCCTCTAGCTCCTTTACCTGCCAGACACAGAGTCTTAGGTCTTTCAGGTGGTACCTTACCTGCATCCCAATGATGGCGTAAATGAAGAAGAGCATTGCAATCAGGAGACAGACGTAGGGGAGGGCCTGAAAGATGCAGACAATGGAAGGTTTTGTTGTATTCAATGCACAGCATTTATTTAAAATATCTTGTATTTTTGCCTTGACATTGAGGTGCCCAAGTTGTTTAACACCAGCATTTTTTTTTTAAATCATTCAAATAATAAGCTCAAACAAACGAAAAGGCAAGCATTTTGTTTTCCTTTGACATCTGGTGAGTTAGCTCACTTTCTGAGTTACTTGGAGCTACAGCAAAATGGTGGCTTTTATTGTTATTTTTATCTATTGCATTTACCGTATTTTTCGCTCTATAAGACGCACCAGACCATAAGACGCACCTAGTTTTTGGAGGAGGAAAACAAGGAAAATAAATAAATCTGAATCTCAGAAGCCAGAACAACAAGAGGGATCACTGCGCAGCGAAAGCAGCGATCCCTCTTGCTGTTCCGGCTTCTGGGATAGCTGCGCAGCCTGCATTCACTCCATAAGACGCACACACATTTCCCCTTACTTTTTAGGAGGGAAAAAGTGAGTCTTATAGAGCAAAAAATACGGTATATCCCACCTTTCCTCCAAAGAACTCAAGGTGGCATATACAGTTGTACCTTGGTTTTTGAACAGCTTAGTTTTTGAACGTTTTGGCTCCGGAACGCCACAAATCTGGAATTGAGTGTTTCAGTTTGCAAACTATTTTTGGAAGCTGAACGTCCGACTGGGCTTCTGTGGCCTCTGATTGGCTATAGGAGCTTCCTGCAGCCAATCGGAAGCTGCGTTTTGGTTTTTGAACGTTTTGGAAGTCGAACGGACTTCCGGAACAGATTCCATTCGACTTCCAAGGTACAGCTGTAGAGCTTTCCCCCATCCCCATGTAATTCCCACAACAAACCTATGAGGTAGTTTAGGCTGAGAGGCATTGACTGGTCCAAGGTCACCCAGTGATCTTCTTGGCTGAGTGGGAATCAGAACCCTGGACTCCCAAGACCTCATACGACACTCTAACCACTACACCATGCAGTCTTATGATTGCAGGAGCTAGAACATTATATGTAACATATTGGAAAAGTGGCAACTACTAACAAACTAGGGGGTTATACAGTATTGCAAGAAGTAAAGAAAAGAAAAAGCTTTCTGCTCCTTTCCAGCCCTGTATGTCTCTCATTTTACATACATACCATACATACATAATTTTATTTGTATGCTGCCTTTCCATAGCTAAAACCATGCCCAAGGCAGCTTATAACATACATTGCATCATTACAAATCTAGCAAAACATCAAAACACACAACCAAATACGTTTAGAGAAGATTGGAAATTTTTTTTATTGAATATATGGGGGAGAATTGTGTACACTTGAAAATTCAGCGGTGTAAATAAGTTTCGATGGATGCAATAATGGAATACTAAATGGTTTAGTTTATGTAAAACATGCAGGGATTTAGGATATGCAAAATGAACCATGGAAAGAGAAGAAGGGAAGTCATCGATTTAAGGATGTTTAAATGAGTGTTCTAAATTGTAAAACAGAAAATTATATATATACCGTATTTTTTTGCTCTATAAGACTCACTTTTTCCCTCCTAAAAAGTAAGGGGAAATGTGTGTGCGTCTTATGGAGCGAATGCAGGTTGCGCAGCTATCCCAGAAGCCAGAACAGCAAGAGGGATTGCTGCTTTCACTGTGCAGCGGTCCCTCTTGCTGTTCTGGCTTCTGAGATTCAGAATATATTTTTTCTTGTTTTCCTCTCCAAAAACTAGGTGCGTCTTATGGTCTGGAGCGAAAAATACGGTACATATATATGTGTGTGTGTCTCTCTGTGTGTGTGTATATATATATATATATATATAATCACAACCAAATTAAACAATTTCCACATAAATAATAATAAAATCTAAAATAACGATACAAAAAATGATATAAAAAAGCCACAACCCCTCCCCCTTACAACCCCCCCCAAATAACCCCCCCCCCACCCAAGAGCTTAGAATATGTAGAAAAGGAGGCCTGTTGCTCATTACAGCAGGATAACTTTGCTTCAGGACAGGGCAGGAAGAATAGGTCAGGGAGAGGCAACATTACTTCGGGTGGATGTGACTAAGGATCAAGCCTTTTCGATCCATACTAAAGACAGAGGAAGACTGTCATCATCAAAGGGATTGGGTGAGAGGCATTCTCTGCAGTCACAGGAGAGCAAAAGGCGCTGCTATTCCAAGTGAAACCTGCATCCCTTTTGGACCACATAACATGGGGCAGACAAGTTAGGAGGTCTGGGCAGAATTCTTGGTCACCCCCGGAAATCTTTCCACAGAGAGCTTCAAGGAATGACCCAAGCAACTTGAGAAAGCCGAAGAGGTTGTACTGGCACAACATAACATCTGATTCTCCCACGTTAATCCTGCCAGTTTGTGTGGACTAGCTGGCATAGGAACAGGGCCGGATTTAGGCTTGCTGATGCCCTGAGCTACTGAAGGTAATGGGGGCCCTTTATATGTCCAGCTGTTCTTTGTCAACAACAAATCGTCACTGTTTTTTGTGTTGAATATATGCTATATTGCAATTTACGGACCTAATAGGTTTCTAAAGCCATTTGCACATGCAGAATGTAGGCACCCTATATATAGAAAGGAGTAAACCAGTGAGATTTTAGGGAGCAGGTGAGGCCCATTACTTACATCACAGGAGCCTACACAACACAAAACACTGTTGCTGTATGTAGGTTTTATTTTATTTGTTTTTATCTTATATTTTAGAAATGTACATCCAGGTTTTTTCCCTTTAAAATTTTTTGGGGCCCCTAGAGAGTGGGGCCCTAAGCTATAGCTTGTTGAGCTTATAAGTAAATCTGGCACTGAATAGGAACAGCTCCTCTCCTCCCAAAACATGCGCTTAGCGGATGACGGATTCTCTGGTTTGCAGCACAGACCACCTTTTGCGCAGAAGATGTCCTGAGAAGGTGTATGTCAAGTCTGAGTTTTTAATTCGCAAATCTTAGGAAGGAGATGAGCGGTCAGCCATTTTTTACCTTGAAGGACTGCACAAAAGTCCACAGCAGAATGCGGATGGTGTAACCTTGGCGAAGCAATTTGATGAGACGGGCAGCCCGGAACAACTTCAGAAAGCTCATGTTGAAGCTGCTGGTATTGACCAGCTTTCAAATAGACAGAGAGAGAAAGAGAGATGGAGAGAGATCAAATAATTTAAACAAAAGCAAGCCAAAAAGCAACAAACCTATCTCTGTGCCCTGAATTCCAATAATAATAATAATAATAATAATAATAATAATAATAATAATAATAATAATACTTTATTATTTATACCCGCCCATCTGGCTGGGTTTTCTCAGCCACTCTGGGCGGCTTCCAACAAAAGATTAAAAATGCATTAAAACATCAGTCATGAAAAACTTCCCCTCCAAGAGGGGCAATAGAAAGGAGGAGAATTTCACCTTGCTGTCCGTCAAGATAATTTCTGTAATGCTGCCAATCACGGTGATGAAATCAAAGATGTTCCAGGTGTCGCGGAAATAATTCTGAAGGAAGATTGGGGGGAGGGGGAAGAATAAACCATGGTGTGAACATCCAAGTAACAGCAAACATAGGGTGGCTAAGTCCTTTAAAGGGACGCGGGTGGCGCTGTGAGTTAAACCACAGAGCCTAGGACTTGCCGATCAGAAGGTCAGCGGTTCAAATCCCCGTGATGGGGTGAGCTCCCATTGCTCGGTCCCTGCTCCTGCCAACCTAGCAGTTCGAAAGCACGTCAAAGTGCAAGTAGATAAATAGGTACCACTCCGGCGGGAAGGTAAATGGTGTTTCCATGCACTGCTCCGGTTCGCCAGAAGCGGCTTGGTCATGCTGGCCATATGACCCGGAAGCTGTATGCCGGCTCCCTCGGCCAATAGAGCGAGATGAGTGCCACAACCCCAGAGTCGTCCACGACTGAACCTAATGGTCAGGGGTCCCTTTACCTTTTTATGTCCTTTAAAAGAGGCCCCGTGGATACAGACGACAAATGTTTCACAGGGCCTATTTTAAAAGACTAACCCTGTATGAAGAGAGGCTGAAACCAGTCCCATGAACAAGAGACAGCATACATCTGTATGAGGTACATTCACCATAACTGGTTTATACTTATTGATGGAATTCACATTCTTGGCAGGTTTGGTCTCATTCTAGTTGGTGGCTGCCTTCAAGAAACAGGCACCTCCTGTTCTATCTTGTGGACCCACATCAAAGAGGGGCATAGCACAACATTCAGCCCAAAACTAAGGGTCAGAATGGATATGCCACCCATTTTTGCCAAAGCAACATAAGGTTGGCACAGAAATGGAAACAAGAAGAATTACCGACAAAAGAAGAGTGGCAAATGAAATTAATGGACTATGCAGAATTAGACAAATTAACAGAAAGAATTCAAAACCTGCTGGACCAGAGATTTTTTAGAAAACTGGAGTAAATATTTGAACTATCTAAAAAGCAATTGTAATAAACAGATTACGCTAGTAGGGCTGCAAGAAGTTCTGTAAGGAAGATTATGTGAAATATTGCAAGGAAGATTATGAAGAGAATTATTAGTTAATGATAATTAAAAGTAATAGAGAAATTAAGAAATGCAGAATAAGTGATAAAGAACGGAAAATATTCAGAGGTTGTTGATGGAAGTCTAAAATATTGTGTAAGGTAAGAATTTATGTTAAATGATTGTTGGAAATGATATGTTAAAAAATCAATAAAAGTGTGTGTGTGTGTGTGTGTGTGTGTGTGTGTGGCAACATTAGGAATTTAATTTGGGGAGATTATTAGGATTTATAAAGAGAAATGCAAAGCTTAATATCAAATATCTTTTTGGGGGGGTTTGGGGTCCCAAAACTGAAACATGGATCTACATACACTAAGAACATAGGAAAAAAAGAGAGAGAAAGAAAAGCAGGAAAAAAGAGACAGAAATAAAGAAGAAAAAATAGACAAGAGATTAAATGAATCTCTTAAAACAGGCTTCCTCAACCTCGGCCCTCCAGATGTTTTGAGACTACAATTCCCATCATCCCTGACCACTGGTCCTGCTAGCTAGGGATCATGGGAGCTGTAGGCCAAAAACATCTGGAGGGCCGAGATTGAGGAAGCCTGTCTTAAAACAAAGCTGGGATTTTTATTGAGGTCCTACAGATCCCAGTTCAACACTGTCAGACAACATACATTCTCATTAACAGATTCCAGTAACTAAACACATGTCAAATATATTGTACAATGGATCGTAAACATAACTTGCTCTCCAGGGGCCTCGTGAAATATATCCTCCAGAACCTGGCATCCAGTTTGTAGGATACCAGGGAGCAAACAAGAGCCACATCTGTCATAGCTTTCCTTCAAACTTCTGGGAACTTGGGCAAGTTGGAGAAACGCTTCTTAACTAACTCGATAAAAACAATTGAGATGTCCCAGCAGTACAGGGCATTTTTATTTGATGCAGATGAGGCTACCCATCACCAAAAAGCTAATCGCCCCACCCCCTAAAAACTCTGTAACTCACCAGAAAGCCAAAAGCTATAATTTTCAGGACACATTCCAGTGAGAAAACCATGGTAAAAGCAATGTTCAGGTACTTCAGAGCTAGTTCGTAGGTGTAGGGAGCAGAATAGTACTGAGAAGAGAGAGAAGGAAAAGAAGAGTCATCATATCCTGGGTCCCACTTGTATTAAAACAACCACTCAAAAGCTTTCCTGGCCCATACAAGGGTTATATTTCCCCATGTGTAATTTGGATGCAAAATTCAGTTAGCAACTAGAGAAAAACAAAACTCCACACATCTTGGATAAATCAAGTGAAACATCCGCACATACAGTTCTCTGATTTGAAGTAACAATGCCCAGCTTCTACAGAACTGGTTTGTTTGAACATCTTATTGAGACATTGAGTGCGAGCAGTTTTTGGAATGAACCAGTAGTGGGTTGGCAACAAGCCAAGTTAAACGGATTACATGAGAAGTCTGCTTGGAGACAGGGAAGCCTAGCAACAGGTGGTGATTGGCTAAGTTCTTCCTTATAAGCAGTATGACACAGCAGTTTTGTTGCTGGAGTGTTGAGTTTGGAGTAGGAGTTTGAATCTCGCCTGTGTATATAGTAACTTGTACAAAGCTGTGCTTTACTCTGCTGTATATAATAAAGCTAACTAAAAATCAAGTTACTCGTCAGCAAGTTCTGTTCCTGTTCGCCGTCCTGGAATTCACTGATTTGGCAGCTGGTAGCAAGAGTTATGGGATGCGGGTGGCGCAGTGGGTTAAACCACAGAGCCTAGGACTTGTCGATCAGAAGGTCAATGGTTCGAATCCCCATGACGGAGTGAGCTCCTGTTGCATGGTCCCTGCTCCTGCCAACCTAGCAGTTCAAAAGAGTTATGGTTGAGATCCATCAACACATCTTTACCCAGTTTAGCATTCTCTGTGGCTTTTTATTCACTGTGAAGCTGCTTGGGACATCCATTCTGATTACAAAGTGTGGCAAGTGATAAAGGCCCATGGAATTAATTGCCGCAGGGTGCCAGTAGCAAGGCAGCTGCTACACAACCTATGAGAATATAACTGATGGGGTGTGCGTGTGTGCTTGCAGATATATATATATATACACACACACACGCATATGAGGGGAAGTTATGAAAACACTTGAAAGCACAATTGAAACACACATCAAGTGTGGTCTTATGATGTTATTGCTAAACAGATTGGCGGACAGCGAAAGCTGTAGGTGGATGCTTCACACGTTGAAAGGCAGCAAGTTCAGGTATGACAAAAACTGCACACTTGACAGGGACCCATAGGAAGTGATGGCTTCCTGTATATATGTGCATAGGATCCATGCTTGAGAATAAGCGCTGGTCACATTTACACGCTAAATATTTAAGTTAACGTATGTATGCTTAAATGACTTGAGAAGTCCATCCTAAATACAATCGTACCTTGGAAGTCGGACAGAATCCGTTCCGGAAGTCCATTTGACTTCCAAAACGTTCAGAAACCAAAGTACAGCTTCTGATTGGCTGTAGGAAGCTCCTGCAGCCAATCAGAAACTTCAAAACCCATGTTGGGCATCCGGGTTTCAAAAGAACGTTCGAAAACCGGAACACTCACTTCTGGGTTTCGGTCATTCAGGAGCCGATCTGTTTGGGAGGCAAGGCGTTTGAGATCCAAGGTATCACTGTATAGGATAAAAGTGATCCTTAGTTGCATCCCCAAATGTGGAAAAACCATTTCTTGGAGGTAGAGGATATGCTTCTTTTTCATTTAATGCATTTTTAACCCACTCTTCAGCTAGCAAAGGCTCCCAGAGTAACTTAAAAGGTAAAGGGACCCCTGACCATTAGGTCCAGTCGTGACTGACTCTGGGGTTGCGGCGCTCATCTCGCTTTATTGGCCGAGGGAGCCGGCATACAGCTTCCGGGTCATGTGGCCAGCATGACTCAGCCACTTCTGGCGAACCAGACCAGCACACAGAAATGCCGTTTACTTTCCCACCAGAGTGGTACCTATTTATCTACTTGCACTTTGACGTGTTTTCGAACTGCTAGGTTGGCAGGAGCAGGGACCGAGCAACGGGAGCTCACCCCGTTGCAGGGATTTGAACCGCTGACCTTCTGATTGGCAAGTCCTAGGCTCTGTGGTTTAACCCACAGCGCCACCTGCGTCCTGTCAGAGTAACTTACATAAGATCGATAAGAAGACAATTTTTGATATTAAAGTAGCACGCAGAAGGTCCATCTTCCATCCCTGGTGCACTCCCAGGGATCAGGGCTGGGAAAGAACCTTTCCCAAGACCACAGAGAAATGTGAACAATCAAATTAGTCCAGGGGTGGAGAACCTCTGACTCTCAAGGTGTTACTAGACTCCCATTACCATCATCCCCAAGCTCTACGTCTAACGGTCAGGACTGATGGGAGCTGTAGTATAGTGACATCTGGAGGGCACCAGGTTCCCCATCTGTGTGAAATGCTGCTCAGGTTCTCCCCATCATTCACAATTCTCAATTGCTTTGTTTTATAGCCAAGGAGCTGAATCAGGAGGGAAGAGAAGGCATCTCCCAGGGGGCAACCCTGCTCAAAAGTGAACTTTCTGGTTGTACCAGATCACTGTAATTGCCAGGAAGCCGGTCAATGTCGCCCCAGGTTCTCCTCACCTTCATCATTAGAACCACAGTGTTCAGTGCTATCATCGCCATAATGGTGTACTCAAACGATGGGGAGACCACAAAGTGCCAGACCCGGTACTGAAAGGTGTGCCGGTTTTGCGGCATGTAGCGGGTGAGGGGTTTGGCACTGATGGCAAAGTCAATGCATGCTCTCTGGAAGAAGAAGAAGAAGAAGAAGAAGAAGAAGAAGAAGAAGAAGAAGAAGAAGAAGAAGAAGAACTGTCAGTTGGCATCCAAATTATTACCCTCATTGCTAATTATTGTATTGTTGCGAACTCACAAAAGGATCCCCTTCCCGACTTATGCAGTCATACCTCATGTTACATTTGCTTCCTGATACGTTTTTTCAGGTTGCGTCCTGTGGCGACCCGGAAGTACCGGAAAGGGTTACTTCCGGGTTTCGCTGCTCACACATGCACAGACGCGCAAAATGACATCACTCGCATGCGCTGAAGTGGCAAATCGCATCCTGCGAGTGCGCAGACGCGCTGCTGCAGGTTGCGTTCTATTCATGTTGTGAACGGGCCTCCAGAATGGATCCCCTTCGCAACCAGAGGTACCACTGTAATCATGAGGTGCTTCTAGCCAGCACCGGAATAGTGTGAATCCAGATGTTCAAAATGCTTTGGAAGTATCTGCCTAGCTTCCCAAGCAATAAATAACAATGCCACCCCTCTCTCACCACAGGCCTGCCCCATTTGCGCTGCAGCGTTACCTCGTTCTTCTCGAGGCTGCACTCCTCCATCATTTTGTCTCCTTGCTCCTGGAAAGTGATGATGATGAGAGCCACAAAGATGTTCACAAAGAAAAAAGGGAAGACCACAAAATACACCACATAGAAAATGGACATCTCCATGCGGTTGCTGCGGCTGGGGCCGCGGTCCTCCTCAGTCACATCCACCGAATGCTGCAGAACCCTGGGAACACAAAGAGAGAGAGAGAGAGAGAGAGAGAGAGAGAGAGGAAGGAAGGAAGGAAGGAAGGAAGGAAGGAAGGAAGGAAGGAAGGAAGAAAGAAAGAAAGAAAGAAAGAAAGAAAGAAAGAAAGAAAGAAAGAAAGAAAGTCACATAGAATCATAAAGCCGGAAAGGAACACACAGGTCATCTATTCCAACTCCCTGCAATGCAGGAATGTTTTGTTCAACTCATTGTTGAACTCACGACCTGAGATTTAGAGTCTCACCCTCTACTGATTGAGCTACCCTTTGCTGATGGCTCAACCATCCTCAGAGCATTCCTAGAACACTGCACAAAAATAACGCGCGGCCCAGTTTAACAGCCTATCTACACATCTATTTATTTTTGAAAAATATTTATATGCCGCCGTGTAAAAAACACACCATTGTGGTTTACAACGATAATTATAAGTCATAAAAACACGTCAAGAATTTTTAAAACCAGAGCCCACCAACTAACCATTATGGAAGGGCGTTTTCTGAATTGCCCGCATAACCTTGCGGCTTCGAAAGGTTTTTAGCAGTTTAAAGGTTGAAACAGAAGGCACTTGTTGAATCTCTGTTGGCAGCTAAGCCCATCAAGTAGATATGGGAGACTTTTGTTTGCAAGTTCTGCAGGGTGAGAGGGCAACTTGACCCAGAGATCTGTCCCTGCTTCATTACCACGAACGAATAAATGAAGGAATTAAAGAAACCTCCTTTTGGGAGCAGCGTTTAATCTCTCGATTAATTTTGCCACTGAAACATAAACGTACCAGGCGTTCCATTATGTTTTGGACTAGTTAAGGCTAAGCTCAAACACTTCTGCTACTAACCTCACTGAAAAGGAAGAAAGGAAATACTCACTGCGGCCACCCCTCTCCGGTGGAGACAGTGAAGAGGGTAAGCAGAGCCCACATGATATTGTCGTAGTGGAATTCGTGGCGCTTCCATTTTCGGCATTTCACTTCCATCGTGTTTTTCTCGTGGTCCACATAGTGGCCTCTGTAAGATGGAGGGAGATGGCGATTAGCCTTTCACTGCCGCACTGTCAGGGTGAAAGAGGTCTAAGCCGATACTGTAAACATGATCCTTCGAGGAAGCGTGGTACATACATTTCATAAATAATAATAATGACAACAATAATATGGGGCTATTTGATTCTTTCCTTTTCTTTCCTTGAAAGGGTTGTCTTAAGTCCTGACTCGGCCAAGTAAGTGTGAGAAAGAGGACCCCAAGGGAGCAGAAAAGACCATTTATGTATGGGACCACAGCTGCTGGGAGGCTATTGGCCCAGAGATGGAAAGAAGATAAAGTCCCTACCAGAGAAGAATGGCAGATCAAGTTGATGGATTATGCCGAATTGGCAAAAAAAGAATCAGAAATCAAGAAGACCAATAAGGAATGGGGGAAAATATAATTTATCTTAAAAACCATTGTAAACAGTTAAAACTGTAAACAGGACTGGAATAACACTAGTAGTTTAATGGTGAATTTTGGACATAATGGAGATGTAAAAATTTGGCTTATTATAAAAGATGCAAGAGGAAATGATTAACAATAGGACCCACAAAGGAGAGGAGGAGGAGGAGGAAGAAGAAGAAGAAGAAGAGGAGGAGGAGGAGGAGGAGTTTGGATTTGATATCCCGCTTTATCACTACCCTAAGGAGTCTCAAAGCGGCTAACAATCTCCTTTCCCTTCCTCCCCCACAACAAACACTCTGTGAGGTGAGTGAGGCTGAGAGACTTCAGAGAAGCATGACTAGCCCAAGGTCACCCAGCAGCTGCATGTGGAGTGAGAAAGGGGAGAAGCAGGAAGAAGACAACCAAAGGCGGGACAATACTGTATCTATAGTGCACAACCCACTTTGGTGGTGGCGGCAGCCTTTGTTAAAACTGGTCCTGCCCAAAGCAGGGGGATGGATGACTCCTAGAGTCATCAGGTGTGAAACACAGCACGCAGGGAGAGGAGGCTCTGAAATCCTCCCCCTGGTTGCAAATCACCTCCCCACAGTCTTTCTCCCAATGTCACTCTCACACCGCCCAGGCTTTTAATGTCAGAAGGGTGCTGAGTTGGGGGCAGAAGTGCAGGTAGTAGTGAGGAGAGGATTACAGGATGGCAGGCAGCCGATTCCAGGATGGTTCATCTTCCCTCCCCTATGAGCCTCTTTCACTCCAAAAACAGACCTTCCAGCGCCCTCTAGAACTGAGACAGGCCCAGATAGTCTGAGTCTTGCAGTGGGGTTTATATCCAGGTGTGGTGTAGAGCAGGGAGATTACAGGTAAGACCTGGGTGTCTGTCCTTGCTCCACCACAGCAGGATTAGTGCAACCTGAAGGAAAATAAAACTGACAGATCCAGATCAAGCCTCCTGCTCTAAAGAAAAATACGAGTCCATGCTTCTCCTGGGAGTTTTGGAGATTGTTTCCTCCCATTATGGACCTTGGGTCATAGAATTATAGATTTGAAAGGGATGAACTGGATGAGGAACTGGAGAAGGCCCCCGGGTTTAAATGTCCATGGGGTGAAAGGGTAAAAGAGTATTGGGAAATGATCTATAATGAATTGGGGGGAAATGTTTAAAATTACCTTCCCCCAAAAAACAGATTCCTTTTTGTTGGTAATAATTCAAGATGAAATCCCCAGGTGTCAGAAAAGGTTATTTGTGTATGCAGCAACTTTGGCCTGTGTTTTTTTTAGCCCCAAAATGGAAAACAAGCGAGGTCCCAACCAAAGAAGAATGGCAACTTAAGTTGACGGAATACGCACAACTTGCAGACTTGACAAATAGAATAAGAGAACAAGAAGAACATACATTTAAAGAAGATTGGATAACGTTTACTGAATATATGGAAAATAATTGTGTGCAGCTGAAAATGCTGGCAGCGTTAAGAAAAATTCAACCATGTAAATAAGTCTTGATGGATGCAATAATGGACTACTGAATGGTATAGTTTTTGTAAAATATGCAGGGATTTAAGATATGTAAAATGAACCATGGAAAGAGAAGGGAAGTCATTGGTATCTTAAGAATGTAAAATGAATATCTGAAATTGTAAAACAGTAATATCTATCTATCTATCTATCTATCATCTATCTCTATCTATCTATCTATCTATCTATCTATCTATCTATCTATCTATCTATCATCTATCATCTATCTATCTATCATCTATCTATCTATCTATCATCTATCTATATCTATCATCTATCTATTTATCTATCTATCATCTATCTATCATCTATCTATCTATCTATCTATCATCTATCTATCTATATCTATCATCTATCTATCATCTATCTATCATCTATCTATCTATCATCTATCTATCTATCTATCTATCTATCTATCTATCTATCTATCTATCTATCTATCATCATATATTATCTATCTATCCATCTATCTATCTTTCTCCATGGAGTGGATGGGGGCAAAGTCTGCCGGCTAGGTGTGATCCACCTCAGGGGCGGGGCCAGCACCACAACCTGCCTGCCATTGGTCAAAGGGTTCACCCAGGTCGGGGGGAAACCCTTACCTCCAGTGTACCCACCAGATCCTGGGATGATGCTGGTGCCATCCTGCAAAGGCGCCCAACCAGAGGTAAGTGTCATTGTGCCACGATGCAAGGCTAGATGCTTTGCGTGGCGATTCCCGCCCCCTCCCACAGATGGAGTAAATAAAGACACCGGACACCAAAATTTAGGTTAATGGGCGAAAATGGCCACAACTGTATTGATTACAGGTAAGAGAGGTATTGGCTTTAGGCATTGGCCCTAACAGACTATCCGGTCTAACCGGGAAGGGATAAGCACCAACAGGGGGAGCCCCTGAGATGCACATCCCTAGGCGCTCCCCAAGGGGTTACCGCTCGGGAGCGCACTTTAGGCCCTAGCCTCCGTAGGTTTCGGACGAGGCGACACCCCCCGGAGTCCTTTAACGAACTACCCTTCAAGATGTGGGGGAGGTGATGGCGCTCCTCCCCCCCGACTTCATTTGCATAACAATAACCCTGCCAATGCCTACCGCCAAAACCGGGGAGTTGTGACGTTTTGCTACGAGGTAGGCGAAAAAACCAAGTGGCTTTTAAAATACAGCCAATTAGCCAAATGGAAAAACTCCTACCAGGCCCCTTGCAGTGACCAGCCGAAGCCCATAGCAAAGTCCAAATGCCAACCCAGAGGGTGGGTGGGTGGGCAAACCGCAGCTGCTGTAAGGAAAGAAAGGGGCGAGCCAGGGCTGCCCCGACCTTAAATGCCCTTTGTTAACCCCACGCCTACCGCCAGCCGATTGGCTGGCGCTGTGGATAATGAATAATAATTGGTGTGGGAAATCCCTGAGTCCCGCGGGGCTGGAGCCAGCCCCGCGAGAATGTAGACGGGGCGTTAGCCCGCAACCCCCCCCCCTTAGGTCAGGAGTGGCTTTGCAGTGTACTTACATGCAGTCTTTCTCTGTATCTTTTGAACTGTCCGTACAATAGAAGAATTTGCCCTTGAAGAGCTGAACTGCGATGACCGCAAAGATGAACATGAAGAGCTTGTAGACAATGAGGATGTTGAAGACGTTCTTCAACGAAGTTACGACGCAGTCAAAGACGGCCTGAGAGGGGAAGCAAACCCAAAGGGTGCGATTCATCATAGGGAAAAGCAACCATGGACACAAATGGCCTCCTTTGTCAAAGCATTTTCTTCACTCGCATCAAGGCAAGCAGCATGTACAGAAAGTGCAAATCAAGGAAGAACAGGCCTAACCAGCGTCTCTGGCAGTGCAGTGAGTGACAGAGGCTCTTGTAAGAGCTATATCAAAAAGAGAGATTTGAGCAGGTAAAGCTTCTCTCATCGCTGCAAAACAAAGGACATATATTTCCCCCGCAGGTGTTAAACAGTCACTGCAAGGCCATCTAGGGAACTGCAGTTTTGCAAGTGGGGTAGGGGTCTGTCATACCCGATGGCAGTCGCCAGGATTCCTTGGGAAGCAGCCATGGCAGCTAAAATGATATGTACACCAACTAACTTGGTAATCCAGATTTGGTTGAATTGTACCTGCCAAATCTTCCTATTCTACGCAACCGTTAGTGGGATGAAATCCCTGTTCTCCATTGCTCTTTGTTATGCTAGCAGAACAATTGTTCTCTAATAATAATAATAATAATAATAATAATAATTTATTATTTATACCCCGTCCATCTGGCTGAGTTTCCCAAGCCACTCTGGGCAGCTCCCAATCAAGTGTTAAAAACAATACAGCATTAAATATTAAAAACTTCCCTAAACAGGGCTGCCTTCAAATGTCTTTTAAAGATAGGATAGCTGCTTATTTCCTTCACATCTGAAGGGAGGGTGTTCCACAGGGTGGGCGCCACTACTGAGAAGGCCCTCTGTCTGGTTCCCTGTAACCTCACTTCTCGCAATGAGGGAACCGCCAGAAGGCCCTCGGTGCTGGATCTCAGTGTCTGGGCAGAACGATGGGGGTGGAGACACTCCTTCAGGTAGGTATACTCTTAACGAAAAAGGCAGCAACTGCCCTACATTGCTCAGGGGGGTCTGTTCTGAACAAAGGTGACTCATCTGAGGGAATATCACAAGTCAAAGCAAGAATACCTTGAGTTTGGGCAGCCTCTTGATGGTCTTCAAAGGCCTCAAGACTCGCAGAACACGCAGAGACTTAATAGTTTTTATGTCCCGACCTTTGTTCGTCCTGTACAGTTGAGAGGAGAACAAAACCGCCCAAAACAACAAAACAAGACAAAAGGAAGAGAACAATATGAACCCCTCAAACACAGACTGAACTCAATGTGATGCCGCCGCAAATTATTACTTTCTGACATGTGCACAGGTTGAAGAAACTGGATCAAACTTCTGGGTGGGGTTAGAAAACACATTTATAATATTGCACAACTCTGTGGTTTTTAACACAGAGAACACCTTCCATACAGACTTTCCTGTTGAGGAAGCGCTGTGTGTTGTAAGAGATTCTGGAGGGTGCACAACTCATGCAATGCGTGGCGCATGCGAGCATGGTTGGGATTCACTCCACCGCTTAGGACATTCCCAGCAATTTTGCTGCTGCCAGTTTGGAAATGGCGATTGGTGAACAGGCTGTCATACTGGGAAGCTTGCCTGCTCCCAGCGATGCTCTCGTTGCAGGATCACAGGGGTTTGCAGAATGCTGTGTGAAAACCACACGGCCGTGTTTGAATCACGATACAGTAGGAACAGATTTTAAAATCGAAATTATGGAAACCGTGGTCACGAGCCTCGGGCAGCCTGAAACCATTAAAAAGCAAACAAACCGGCAACAACTTTCATTGACTGCCTATTATTGTGAGAAAAGAGTGAGAAAACAAGGTTAAAACAGGTGACCTACGCTCCTGCTGAGTTAGGCCATCTGCCGCAAAAGCATCATGCCACCATGCTCTCGTGTCCTGAGCTCACATGCCAGGTAGGTGTGAGCAATTCTCTTGCTCTCTCTTTTAATCAAATGGCAGCAGGAAAAAAAAATGCCTCTTTCCCAGCATGCTTTAAAAAACAGTTTTATCGGTGTAATAATCTATAATTATAACCAGTGCTTTTTTTCTGGGTGGGACGCATAGCCCTAAACATTTTGTGAATCTAACGGGAGAGGAAACTAAAAATATTTTTTGAAAAAATTCTTCTCTAGCATGGTGAATTGTCACTTGCTACCTCTGATGGCGGCCTCATTTCCGTTCCCGGTGTTTCCTGAGCCTCAGATGGAGGCGAGCGTTTAATGTGTGAAGCAGTGTGGGATGTGGATGTGTGGTGTTTTTACTGATGAAAGTCGGGAAGATGTTAGTGCACACAACCTCATGTCCATGTGGAAGTCACTGGGAGCTGTGTAATATGAGGTAATGCATGTTCTTGGTACCTTTGTCCATTTGCTGTATTTATTTTCCCCGTTTTGAACTATAAAATGGCGATTTTTTCGAGTCTAAATGAGAGTACCCCTAAACATTATTTTTAGAAAAAAAGCACTGATTATAACACATAAATAGTCACCTCTTTCTTATATATAGTGGCATGCAAGGATAAGTATTGATTAGGATGTAGAGTCTTCCACGCGTGCTAGAATGATCAAATGGAACACATTTCCAACCCAATCCACTCATGCGGTGGGGAGGGGAGAAGGACTTAAAGTTCATGGAAGGAAAGTTTCCTGCCCGTCTCTCCCTTGGCAGTTCCCCAAAAGCCTTTCTGGAGCATGTGGGAGGACTACTGGGGAAGCAGGGCATTGTCCACAATTGGGCTTGGATCACAAGAGGGTGTTATCTTTAAGTTACCTTAAGGCAGGCATGGCCAAACTCAGCCCTCCAGATATTTTGGGACTACAATTCCCATCATCCCTGACCACTGGTCCTGTTAGCTAGGGATGATGGGAGTTGTAGTCCTGAAATATCTGGAGGGCCAAATTTGGCCATGCCTGGTTTAAGGGGAAATTTCCTGTCCTCTCCGCCTCACAGCAGCCAAATTTCCACCAGAAAGGCAAAGCACCTTTACCATGATCTAGCAAAGGTGATACAGTGGCACCTCGAGTTACAAACGCCTCAGGTTACAAATGCTTCAGGTTACAAACTACGCTAACCTGGAAGAGTTACCTCGAGTTGAGAACTTTGCCCCAGGATGAGAACGGAAATTGTGTGCCGGCGGCAGCAAGAGGCCCCATTAGCGAAAGCAGGCCTCTAGTTAAGAACAGTTTCAGGTTAAGAACAGACCTCCGGAACGAATTAAGTTCGTAACTAGAGGTACCACTGTACTTGCAAGGGGACAGGTATCCATTTCTAGATGATGCAGTTCTCATGCCAGCGGGTGATGTGTGCATCCCTCAGAAATGTTTGCACGTGCCAGACCCACGCCCCACCCTTTATCTGAACAGCTGATCACTGCCGTTTCTCATCTGACTGGAGGGAGCCTTGCTAGGTATTTAAAAGTTTTTGGGACATGAGCCCAGAGCCCCACTCCAGACAATAAATTTGGGGTCAACATTCTATACCAGGCTTCAAAGCCAAAGAATGTGGCAGCGGCAGTGGGGACAATCCACAAATCAAGTACAGATTTTGAAGAATGCAGTTAAGCAGCTTCGCTTCAGACTTCAATTAAAAGCCGAGTATTTAGTATACTTTAAGCTTCATGCAGGCTTCTGGGCGATCAGACTGTTCATCAGCTCTGAGAAAGACAGAGATTTAGCAGTTAAATCCCACTGAGCTCATCAGGCCTTACTTTAAAGGAAACAGACACATAACTGGCCTGCATGTATGCAGAGAATGGAGAAGCAAGGCAGGAATAGAAAAACTAGTCATGCAAGCAGAGACAAGACTGTAAGCTTCAAAATCCCCAGTTCAAATCTCGCCGCATTCACAAAATTGTCAGCAAATAACTGTACTGCCTACTGCAATAACAGACGGGGGAGATGGGAAGGAGAGATACTTCTGTCCTCTTTGAGAAAGCTGCATTCCTAAAACTGACACCTGCACCAGGTGGCAGAAGTCTATGAAACAAGGCCTGCTCATTCAAAAGAAAGAGAAAATTTCCCAGGCGATATAATTGGACTTTTGGTGTGGAAATATGAAAGCTTTCGAATTACATAGGGCTCTATCGGGCAGGTACCACTATTTCAGGAGCATATGTAGAATTCTATGAAACTTGAAACCTTGCATAATTCCAGCACTAATAGCCCAGGGAAAGATAGCACCTTGCTTACTTGGGACTCAGCTACCCAGCTGCAAATAAAACGTTTTAAATGTGTTGTAAAGTGCAAAATATTAATCTGACACTAGATGGCAACAATGAGCAATGCAAAACTCAATGTATTTTTCAAAACTTTTTTTAAAAAGCACTTTCACAACCTTTTTTATATGTGTGTAGATTCCACCTTGGTGTTTTTCAACATACTCACAACCAACTGTGTTGACCAAAATCTAAATATATTGTAATAAATGCCTTCTCCAAACTCACTCAGCTGAATTTATCTCCCAATTCAATTTTGAGGCTAAAGCAGTTTTCTTATTTATTAAGAGTGTATTATTTCTGCAATGGTTGGTACAAATACCATTGTTCTTCTCTCTGTTTGAGTTCAGGGAGGTGTAGATTGCACCTGGTTTAAAGTCAAGCTTGTTGTGATATGAGATGTGTTGCCAAGAAGGCAGCTCTGACAATACTATGGATCAAACATCTCAAACTCTTCATCTTATATCACCTCACTGTGATGAAGCAAATCACGGGATGTGACTCGTTTACAAAAAACACAAACATGTCCACAGGCAGGGGAACCAAATCATCACAGTAAACACATCACACACTTGATGAAAAACAAGGACTCAGCGGAGGTGAAATAGGGCACACAAACAGATCAAACTAGATTCGTTTGGTTAAGTTGGCAACGCTGCCCAGTTTCCTTCCACCCCATAAAGTCTGTAAATAGGGAAGGAGGGAAGAAGAGATATGAGGTGCCATCCTGGTTCACCAGTCTCCAGTGGAGGCAGGAATAGAATAGAATAGAATTTATTATTTATACCCCGCCCAGCTGGCTGGGTTTCCCCAGCCACTCTGGGAGGCTTCCAACAGAGTATTAAAATACAGTGGTCTGTTAAACATTAAAAGCTTCCCTAAACAGGGCTGCCTTCAGATGTCTTCTAAAAGTCTGGTAGTTGTTCTTCTCTTTGACATCGGGTGGGAGGGCGTTCCACAGGGAGGGTGCCACTACCAAGAAGGCCCTCTGCCTGGTTCCCTGTAACTTGGCTTCTCACAGTGAGGGAACCGCCAGAAGGCCCTCAGCTCTGGACCTCAGTGTCCGGGCAGAACAATGAACCCTGGCCCTTTCTGGCAGAGCCCATCCATATGCATGGATGTTCATGCCAACCAGCAAAGACACCATCCACAGTCTCAATCCAAAGGAGAAGCAGGAGCAGTTGTCAGTCTTCCCCAGCTCAACTTTCCCTTGCTCTTCATGGCTTCAACTACCGTATTTTTCGCCCTATAGAACGCACTTCCCCCCCCCAAAAAAATAAAGGGGAAATGTGTGTGCGTCCTATGGAGAGAATGCAGGCTCCCTGACTTCAACGATAGCAACGCGAAGCCTCCAAAGCGCAGAGGGAGCGCTCTCTCCTCGCTCCGGAGGCTTCACGTTGCTTTCGCTGAAGCCTGGAGAGCGAGAGGGGTTGGTGCGCACCGACCCCTCTTGCTCTCCAGGCTTCAGGGATAGCCGCCTGAAGCCTCCGGAGCACAGCGGTAGCTCACACTGCGCTCCAAAGGCTTCGGGTTCCTTTTGCGGAAGCCGGGAGAGCAAGACTCTCCTGGCTTCAGCAAAGAGGGAGAGCTGCGCAGCGTCCTTTCAGCGAATCGGGAGGAGAAATGGAAGGGGCTGTTTCTCCTGCCACTTCGCTGAAGGGGCGCTGAGCAGAGAGGGGGAGGTTTTTTTTTCTTGTTCTCCCCCTCTAAAACAAGTTGCGTCCTATGGTCGGGTGCGTCCTATAGAGCGAAAAATATGGTAACATTGTGCACACAAACTTTGTGAGAGCTGCCCAATCCAGCGCCAGTCAGAAGCAAAGGAGAAGGGGGCCCACCTAAGCCCGTTCCCTTCCCCATTTTTCTGTTGGTTTGAGGGGAAAAAATTATAAAAGGAATAGAATTCCTGGATGCCAAGGTCCAAGTTTGGGGCAAGTATACTTTGGTGAGAGAACAACA